TCAAGACTACCCAAATATCACCTTCTCAATGAGGTGGACGCTTGCTCCCCTATTTAAATTTGCACACTGGCTATATATTTTACCTATAACACTCGCTGTTTATTGTCATGTGCTGCACTTCCTCACCCCCACTCTGCCTCCAATATTGAGGGGGGGTGGCTTGTTAGTTCACTGAAATATCCAATCCACCTAAACAGTGCCTAATAAATATTAGGTCCCCCAAAAAATAGGTCCCAAATAATTTTTTTGTGAATAAATCAAATGCATAAATGCACATGCTATCACATTTCTCCTTTCACCTGTTCCTCTCTGTCTGAAATACCTGAATACATCTTATTCCCCCTCATCTACAGTCTCATTGGTATTTTTTTTACTTTATACATTTGTTTGCCTGTTGGTCTTCCCTACTTCTTGGGTCAGGAGATGCATCTCCGTTTATCTTTCTGGGCCTGTCTCCTAATACATACCAGAAAATAAAAGGCATTCAATAAATATTTGTTGAACTCCAATACCTGAATCGCATTGCATTTCAGGCAAGGGACTAAAACACATGAATCATATACAAACTCTGACCATAATTACATAGAAGAGCTCATTTTAGAGCCATATAGCACCTTTGTTCTGTAAATCCTTTTGCTTAAAAAGGGAGGCACTGATATATCAATTTAGAGAACTTAGTTGAGGCGGGTGCTGATTTTTGCAAATTCTATTTTGCCAGGATTTCAGAGAATGCAGTTTGGTCCTGAATAGCTGGTCTCCGACCAGATGGTTTGTACATTCTGATTTGTAGAATTGGGGATGCTCCCTGACTAAAAATAAATTAAGGGAAGATGCAGAGTGGAATCACTTATTATATGTAGGACCTGTGCCAGCGATTTTACATATATTAATTCATTTTATCCTTACAATAAATTTGTGAAGAGTATATTTTACAGATGAGGAAGCTGGAGTTCAGAGAATTAAAAACTGCCCAAGGTCACACAACAAGGTCATGATATGACTGGAATTTGGTCCAAATTCCCTGCAGATCAAAATCCCAGCCCTTGGGCAGCCCTGGTGGCTCAGCGGTTTAGCACCACCTTCAGCCCAGGGCGTGATCCTGGAGTTCCAGGATTGAGGCCCACATCAGGCTCCCTGCATGGAGCCTGCTTCTCCCTCTGCCTGTGTCTCTGCCGATCTCTTTCTCATGAATAAATAAATAAATCTTAAAAAAAAATCCCAGCCCTTTACCCAGCATAGGTTGACCTCCCTCCCACCATGTGTGAGTTCTATTCTGAGTTATCTTTCCATCCATTATGAACTCACACTTATTTTATTGTCTTTGCATTTGTGGTGTTTTGTTCTTTGATTACCCTGAACACAGTGTGGAATGCTTCCTACAACTTACTCGTGCAGACCCTGTGGAAGGAGGGAATCTAATAGAATTTAGTGCCGGCCTTGAGCGTCACCAGATGCCAATTACATGACAGACCTGCTGTGGAGAGGCGGCCCTTTCAAGGAGCTCCCTGGAAGGTCCCACCCACGCCTTTCACAGTAGGGACTGACTGGCCAGAACTGGACATTGGGTCTGACCCGATTTGATTAGGAAGGGTGGTTCCACAGTCCTGGATCTAAACTTTTTCATTTCCTGCTCAAAGATTTCTCATTTTCTTAAGGCAAAAACAAAACAGAAAGATCAAGGGGGGTGGGGGAGGAAGAAGGCAGGGTAGGTGGGAGACCTACAGGAGACACAGTTTGCTGTATTGCACTTTTCACAATCAGAGCAAAAGCTCTGCTCTCCTCTCAGGACTGAACAATGAACAGTCCAGTTAAAAGCACCTTTTAGGAAGGATTGTTATGGAACAGCAGACTTGCCAAAGCACACAGAAGTCTCTTCCAGAGGGGGGAAAAAAACTATTCAGTTCTCTTACAGCCATCTCTTGTGATGATGAAAGGTAAAGGTGCAAAGGGTGTCACAGAACAAGAGACCATATTGACGAATGATTACTCGGTCCACTGACTTAATTCCGGCCAGGAAAACGTTTTCATCAGTAAAGACAAGTAGTCATCCAAAAGCTTAGTTGAATAGAAAGTCTGAAGATGGCAATGTGCACAGCCCCCAAGGTCAAAAGTAGAAAAAGCATGCTCTGGAGAGGCTGACAATGTCTCCAGAAGCTTCACCTCTAGGACCTGGTAGATCCTCCAAAGACAAGGGTGAACAGAGCTCAGTCTATAGCCAGAGAATGATCAATCTGTCAATCTACTGAGTATTGTTGATAGTTTCTAGTCTGATGCCCTGTCATTCATCTCTGTCCACAGTGAACTTTGGAATTAAAGGTTCATTCAATTTTATGGCCAGGAAAGGCCTTACAGATTAATCTTATCCACCCTCTCCTTTGACCGAAGAGGCTTTCTCGGCCATAGATGGATTTAGGGAATTCAACTTTTCAACTAATATGAGAATACCAAGTGCAATAACAGAAAACATATTCTGGACTTTTCAGTACAGTCCTGAATTTGCATATACTGTCCAATTGCCCTCCTACACGTACCTCTATCTGTCAGAGCATGTGGTCCAATCTGAGATTGGGAGAAATATGATCACCTCATAGATCAGAAAATCTGGTTTGGCTTTTGCCACTGTGCTGAAGTACACAAGCTGGTGAAGGGAAGAGAATAGAAACATGTTCTACTCTCTCTCTCTCTCTATCTTTTTAAGTTTTCAAAGAGATATGTATTTTGGCAGAGAAACCGTGAGCATATAAAGGTCTCCATTTGAGCTACCGGACAAAGGGAACAATAGAAGGAAATACAGATAAGTAAGGGGAAAACAGAAGTACACGTAGGTGGAACACAGTGAATTAGAATTCAGTAGGTCACACAGAATTTTCAGGAAGGAACAGCTTTGGGAATACTTTTTGAAAACCTGATTTAAATATATTAAGCCCTGGAGCCAACCTGGCAGAAGGAGCAGGAGACTGAGGGTGAGAGATGCTGGGGAGCAAGAGAGTAGACACAAAGGAGAGAGCCGTCTGGGGACCCCACAGCGAGATCCCCAAGTGAGGATTTTGTGAGGCGAAATCTTGAACAAAAGCTTCACCCCAAGAACGAAGTAGGCGTGGGGTGAGCTGCAGAGCACGCTGGCCTCCCTTCTGCAGTGTGCTCCCTGCCCCTGAGCCCCAGGGGTTCCACAGAGCCTCCCCTGGCCCAGACAGCAGCCACCTTAGCAAAGCCCCAGGTGAAGAAAATGGGAAGGACAACTCTTTGTGGAAGGAAAATAAAATCCACAGTAAACCCAGGAAACTTAAAACAAAAGAGAAAAGTGAGCCTTTGTGTGAGGCAGAGCTCCTCGTTGACACAAAACAGAACCGAGCACTAAATCACGGGCACCGCCTCTGTCCTTCCTTATCCTCCCTTCACTCCGGGTCTAACTTGTGCAAACATCCGGATCCTAAGAGGACATTAAATATTGGCTGATGGAATCTTAACATCCAGGAGCCACCCAGAAATATTGACACAGGCGGCCTAAGAAACTCTTTCACTCTGAAAGCATTGTGAGTCAAATATTCCTCAGTTAAAATAATAAGAAACTCTGGACGTTTCCTTAAAAATAGTATTTGGCCCTGAAATTCAAGCAGTGACGTGAGAACGCTTTTATATGTTCTTGGCAATTTTTTTTTTTTGCACAGACGCTGTAAGAGGCAAGTTTTTATGACTAGTTAAGGAAAGATCATTTTCTCTTTCCATTAACTTCCTTTTCCCAACTTGAACAATAAAAAGAGGTGTGTGTTGGGGCCCCTGCTTGGCTCAGTTGGAAGACTGTGGGACTCTTGATCTCGGGATCATGAGTTTGAAACCCACACTGGGTGTAGAGATTACTTAAAAAAAAAAAAAAAAGAGGTGTGTGTTCAGATAGTGGGTTTGCTTGCCGCTTAAACTTTGTGTCCTAATAGCAAGCACCTTTCTCTCTCAGAGCCATTATCTTTATCATTTATATATACTGAGCAACATTTTTTTAAGTGAATGCAGCCTCCTCCCCTCTACAGAAAGCAATAAGAATTGCACCACAGGAAGAGCTACAATGGCAGAAAGGGAGGTTGGAGAAGATTCTGAAGCTCCAGAGCTAACAAATTTGAGTTAGTACATTGAGATATTACCTGTGCATCATATTTCTGACCCCATTATCTCCTGAAGAGGGCAACTGAGCATCTAGCTCATTTGGTTCCTATTTCTTTTTCTATTTTTCTTTCCCATTAGAGGCTGGATACAAAGGGAAGAAAAATTAAGACTCTTCTGGTCGTGTGTGTGTGTGTGTGTGTGTATGTGTGAGTGTGAGTGTGCATGCACACTACTGTTGTTTGCTATGGACAAAATTACCATTTTTGTAATTGTGCCTCTCCCCAAATAGCTACACTATTAGCTACTTGGCAAGCAACCTCATATACTTAGTATCTTTAAAACCCAAGCATGTAGCAAAATGCTTACTGCAGAGTAGGAAATGGGTGATTGCTTTTTTTAACAAATCCCTAGAGGAGGGATCCCTGGATGGCTCAGCCGTTTAGCGCTTGCCTTCAGCCCAGGGTATGATCCTGGAGTCCCAGGATCGAGGCCCACATCAGGCTCCCGGCATGGAACCTGCTTCTCCCTCTGCCTGTGTCTCTGCCTCTCTCTCTCTGCATCTCTCATGAATAAATAAATAAATAAATAAATAAATCTTAAAAAAAAAAAGAAGAAGAAGAAGAAGAAGAAGAAGAAGAAGTCCAAATCCCTGGAGGAATGAATCTTTTGTTTCTGATGGAACCTGCTCTGAGTCCCTACATACTTGCCAGCGGCCCCTAGGAGACTGTTCTCCATGTAGTTATCCGACATGCTGTTGTTTAATTTGAGAGATGGTCTATTTTTCACACCCTGGGTATATACTGAAATACAGACAGGGATATTTTACTTCCTCTGTATATCTTGGGTTCTAACCACTCACCATCTATTATGTCAGTCCTCTCTTTTCTTTCTGATCCCTCCAGGACAGAACATTATTCCATCCTGTGAGCAACAGCTGCATGGATTGCAACCCCGCAGAGAAGAAGATTTTCATGGCCCGATGTGACCCTCTATCCGAGACTCAGCAGTGGATTTTTGAACATATTAATATGACTGTTTTAGAAAAATTTAACCACCATGCCAGCTCCTAGAAAGAAGGAAGGAGAAGAGAATGAGTGATTACCTACAGATTATAAAAACTAAATTTTAGCCAGCATCTGGGTCGAAGGAGTCAGGAATAACATTTCCTAGATCCAGGAAGCCTGGTTTAAAGATTTGTAAATGCCATGTCAAAGTAGGTTGTCCTGCAGAAATTCCTGCATCTGAAGAACTTGGCCGAGAACCTCACCAGCTGCATCTGAGAACTTGAGACTAGCAGTGCCCTTGCTGGCCAAGGGCAAAGATTATTTAAGGACTTTTCAAAAAACAACTGCTGAGTTAATAAATCCTAGCATTTCTCAGGTCAAATCCTGCAGTAGTGAGTAGCTATGAATGGATCCTATTAACTGGGTGGGAGGGGGGCGAAAATAGAGTGCATGACTGCTCTGACAACCAGAGGATACCACAGGTTTAGAACTAGCCACGCTTAAGGGGTGAGCTGTCCTCTCTGGTGCCATTCTCTGACTAAGAATGGGTTAAGCAGGTTTAACCCTTCAAAGTGCTGCAGATGATTTTAGAGTGCTCATACCATTCTGTTCTCTTGTTTTATTTTTCAACGAGGGCGCGCTGTCTAATGCAAGACTCAAGTTACATAATGAAACGAACTCCCAGTGTTCGCATTCTCTCATTCACATTTCCTTTTAGAGCAGAGGTAACTTGCTGTTCATCAAAGCTCATGCTCCATAAATCAGCTGAAGTTCTAATTCAGTGCCCTTGTATGAATTCAGTTTAAAAACGAAACAAAAACTATGCTAACCAAGTTACTCCAAAGAGAAAGATTTCACAGAAGCAGCAAAACCATGTAAGGTTTAGGAGAGGGATTTCCCTAGGAAATCTATTTTTACTTTTCTATTATTTTTAGAATCTTAAAAGTCTGATGTTTGTCCGGTCATACTTTTTATTAAGGAAGGAAATGGAGTGAGGTTGATGTAATTTGTTTAGGAGATCCTTAAAATCCAAATAAATCTACACTCCAAGTGATGTGCGAAAACGGCTCGGTTCACTTCCATTCTGTTTGATCGGTGCTGGGGACACAGACTTGCTTTCACTTGTTTCGTTTCAGGGGTTTTTTTCATTGTTTGTTTTATATTGCTGATATTAATGATGTTTTTGTTTTACTTGAAAGCTCACAGAAGGAATTTCCATTAATAAAGTGCTTCTGACACCACTTTCTGTTAATGAGACAGTATTTTAGGGGTTAGGAAAGGAGTGATTACTAAACTAAATGGAACATTTAATCCTTAAAATTTTTTTTGTTTGTTTTGTTTTGTTTTTACTTTTCAATCATTAACAAGGGTGGGGGAAGAATATGCAGGGAGCCAGAATGGGTCTTTAGATGAAGGGGTCATGTCTATTATACATGTCTCAAGTTTTTTCAGGTAGAAAAAGGTTTTATGTAGCTTTTATTGTTCTCGTTTAACTTAGGTTTTCAGCTAACACACATGTATATGTTGTCCTCGATATAGAAGCATGGGATTTTAGAACTGGGAAGACTCAGAATCTAACCCCTTTGTTTTTCCAGATGGATAACAAAAGGCCAAAGAGGAGTCCTGATTCCTGGTGCAGCAGATGGTTCTTTCTGACCAGCGTTCTTCCTCCTGTGCTGTCTTGCCTCGCTTGTTACCCCCAAGTGTTTCTGGTTCTGACTTAGATGTAATTTGAAATTTTCACTCTTTAGATGAAAATATTATGCCTCCCTGGGGACGCTTATGAGAGTAGCATTCACATTCAGCAGCTTTAACATATGAAAGGTCTTCTTGTAAGTGTTTATGATTTTATTCTCTCCTCAAAATCAAATCAAAATATCCAGTTAAACTATCCTGCCAATGGCTGGGGAGAAGTTATTTCATTATCTTTACCGCTTTTTCAAGCTTTCTTTTGAAGAGCCATTTGTTTTAAAATGACAGTCACTGAGATTTTCGGTGTAGGTCAAGAGATCTTGAAGCATGTGAGATGCAGAGTAGAGAAAATCAATAGTGAAAAATTAACCTGTGTGTTGAACAATTCCAGAGAGTGAGTGAAGATTTATCTCAAGTGTTCGGAAAGCAATCTGGTTGCAGAATTAGACGAACCTATAAAAATTCACATTATGTCATTAAACAGTTGACTGCTATTTACAGTTCCACCAAAGAGCCGCCCTAGGTTCCGCACCCTGGAAAGCCCAGATTTGCAATATGTCAGGATGCTCTAATCATGGGAAGCTAGCCTAACATGTTTGGCACTGTTTTCTGAGAAAGCCTGAATACCGCATCAATTGAGGATAACACCCAGGATCAACAAAGATTGGTTTCCCTGTCTCAGAAGGGGTCACCTCTTGGATCTAATCTTACCTTTGAGCAAAAGGATGTAATATAAAAACATAAAATAAAAAAAATTTTAAGAGAAGCCTGAGACATTAAAGCCAAAAATAAAATTTCAAACTGCCAAGCAATTAAATGTGAGCAAATGGGGAACATCCAGACTAAACTGAAGCCCAGAGAATCTACTTCTTAGCCGAAGGCCAGAACCTGCCAATGAGTGCATTTAGGGAGGCATTCCCAGGGCCTCAGAAGGCTGGGACTCCACTTACTTGAAAAACCTCTACTATTGTGAAAAATAGACAATTATGTATGTGTGTATATTTATTTGGCAAAGGGGACTGACGGGCTATCAAGAAGATTCTTTCCTGGAAATAACATGATTTAGACATGAAACAGTACAGTCCTGACTTACTCTTTTATCAGAATGAGAGCAGAAAATAGCATAAAGTTAATCTGGCTTCAAGAATTGCTGCTTCTCCATAATAAGAAATGGTTTTGCCAGAAGTTAGAACATAGTTAATTTTATATACCCTTATGTATTTAGTGAGGAAATGCTACGCTGAAAAACAATTGTGAACTAAGGATGGGATTTATACTTTGTTTCAAGCTGAATGGATTCCATGGTAATAACAATGCATTAGCTTCTATATCTATTGCTATTTAGTTAAAAATATGAATATGATCATGTGACTTTCTAACTGTATTCATTACAGAAGAGGCCTCAGTGAATAACCTAAATTCCAGGATTATTTTGTGGATTAGTAATACAGAACTTTGTGAATTAGTAATATAGAAAGAGATGCATAACATATAACAAACTGGATTTAGCATCAATGAAAGAGAGGTTTGGGCCCATTCTGCTCACGTTCTTGCAAAATATAAATCTGGGCACCTGGGTGGTTCAGTCATTGAGCATCTGCCTTTGGCTCAGGTCATGATCCCTGGGTCCTGGAATCAAGTCCTGCATCGGGCTCCCCTAGCGAGCCTGCTTCTGCCTCTTGCCTGTGCCTGTGCCTCTCTCTGTGTGTCTCTCGTGAATATAAAAAAGACAAAACAAAACCCATAAAACCAATGACAATACTTGACACCATTTCCCTTAGGGACAATTAACATGTTTTTTTTTAAAGCCAAAAAATATATAATGGGCATATAAACATATATTTTGTGATTCTTGCCCTCACGTGGAAACCTTCTATTTCGATTCTTTCATAAGTAAGGAAATAACAATAAAGAAATCCTTTATTGGAACTGGGGCCGTAAAGTCCATGTCAGATACATCAAAACAGCCAAAGACATTTCAGTTATGAAGCCAACTGTCCAGTCAGGAAAGAAGGCCACACTCACCCACTGTGCGACATTTCCTGGCCCAGGCCTTGACATATCTGAAACCAGTACAGAGTTGATGGCAAGGTCTGTCACCAACTGCTTTTGATTCCCATCTTGTTACAGAATCTTTTCCAGGGATGGACAATCCCATGCCCCACCCCACCCACATGCCTTCTAATGCTTCCAGATTACATTATTTAGAATTCAGAACCATCCTAATAATATGTGATTATTGTGAACACTGATTTATCCCTGAGAACCTCCTTTGTAAAATCTCTTTAGCTTTCTTCCCCTGGCAGAAATAGAAGGCTACAATACACTTTCCTAAACAGATACTGAAGACAAGGAAATAAGGCATGTCATATAAATTCTGAGAAGGAACACCTCGCACGGAAAATATTTTTAAGTCGTTGTCCACGATTCTGAGAGTAAACACAAATGGTGAGAGGTAAATTGTACCTCTAACATGGGTGTGTGTGGGGCTCTCCATTCACCTCATCAACAAGCTCCATCCTTGCCGTCGTAATTCTCAGATGACACCACTGACTGTAATTACTCTATGTGCGAAACTGTGGCGGAGAACACCGAAGCGTGACAAGTGGCCAGTCCTGCCCACACGGCCGATGTCGAGAGATTGCTCTTTGATTTATGTCTGTAGCCTTTGCTTGCAGAACCGGGAGCTGTTTGCAACTCTATTTGGTAGACTTGACATTGGCCTGAAGCTTTTATTCACAGTCACTCATCTCTCCACCTGACACACCAGGCTTGTGTCTGGTACTGTGGCTTCTCAGCAGACAACAGCTCAGGCACATGTCTGATACTTTACAGAAACCTGGGAACATTTCGTCCACCCCCCCCAACCCTGCCTGAAGCAGCCCCCTCTGGCTCACCACACAATAGCCCCCCCCTGGGTTGCCACAGTCTATCACTCTCCACCTTTGTTTCAGGTCTCCCCCTCTGCCCCACTCCCTCAAACAACCTCAACAAGTCTGGCTACATTGCAGAATCATACCATTAATGTTTTCTTTTTTTGTTTGTTTTTGTGTTGTTGTTGTTGTTGTTGTTGTTTTTACCATTAATGCTTTTATTCTGACATTTCTCACCTTGGTGGGGGCGGGGGGTGGGGAAGGACTGAGGGGGAAATGTTTATAACTAAGTGATAGAGGTCCTGATTTACCAGAGAGGGTCCTGGTTTATGCCTGCTGTCCTGTGTATGAATAGGGCCCTTTTTCCTCTTAAAAGTATCCTTGTTTGGATAGCAAATTAGATGGTCACTATAAACTACTGCCTGCTTCCTTGATTCCTTAGGGAAAGTTAAAATGTCCTGTATTTATTGCTTAGAGTCTTTTTTTTTTTTTGATTATTTA